GTGTGTGTGTGTGTGTGTGTGTGTGTGTCTGTGTGTTCAGTGTGTGTGTGTGTGTTCAGTGTGTGTGTGTGAGTGAGTGTGTGTGTGTGTGTCTGTGTGTGTGTGTGTATCAGGGCGTCTCTCCTGTGTTCACTGATTTCTTCACACTGTAAAGTGTCTCACTGTAACTTCCTCATAGTAACTGATGTTACTCAAGAGCATCTGAGGAACACAACACTGAACACACACACACACACACACTTGATCTGTGCTGTTAGAGGCTTCGGTTAGTTAAAAAAGCTAGTTAAAAAGCAGTGTGTGTGTGTGTGCTGTCGGTCACTATGATCAGTTTGTGTTGTAATCGAGTGTGTTTGACCCTCGTGTTTGCAGTGCATTATGGGTGTGTTGACAGATGAGCACACCTGAGGAGAGTGTGTGAGGTCAGGGGTCAGATCTTCATCCGTCTGTCTGTAGCACACATCTGTATCCTGTCTGTCTCACAGCACCTGTCTGTCTCTCTGTCTCACACCCGTCCAGAAAAACATCATTGTTTCAGTTCAGCTTATCTCTGCTCTCCCAAATATCCTGTTTCTTCGAGCTGCGCGTCCAGAACCAATAGAAAGCTCTTCCTGCTGCGGGCTGACTTCACTTCCAGCTTTAGCACAATCTCATCCGCTCTGAACCGCGCTCGGCAGAACCTCGTAACCACACACACACACACGCACACACACACGCACACTCTCACGACGGCCCGTCCTGCTCCAGCATGGCCAGCACCATTAAGGTAAGAGCGGCTCCTCACACACTCGTTAGTGGAGATCCAAACGAGCGCTGAGAGCTCCTTCACGTGTCTTCTCATCTTCTGAGAGTTTGTGTGGAATTTCACTGTTTGTGGAGATTCTTCGGTCAAATCTGTGGCTGGTTGCATGAACTGCTTTGACTAGTCGTACAACTTAGTCAACTGGTCATAACTTTTACAGGGTTTCTGCGGGACTTACAAAGTCTTAATTCACTCTTTTCACAAATTAGAGCCTTAAAGGGTCTTATATCAGAGCAGAAAGTCTTAAATTCATAAAGTTGTGGCATTTAATGTCGCATGAACCGCAAAAAAATGAATCTCTTCCTCAGTATTTCTGTCTTGTATCTTATCAAGAGACATCTACTGTAGATGCATATAAACAGTCTTGTTTTCTGAGAAACTGAACAAAATCAAGTGAGTTGTTGATTAAAACAAGAACAATATCTGTCAGTGGGGAACGAATTGATTGATTTTTCTGAGCCTTTTGGCAGAAATTTGTTCTTTTTTTAATCATAAACAAGACTTCATATCGTCATTCTGCATCTCCAGTAAATGTATCTTGATTTAAGGATCTTTAGACAGAAATACTGACAGAAAACAAAGACAATCTTTGTTTTAGGGTTTGTTCAAAAGGTAAAGGTTATTTCCATATTCTAGTGTTTGTGAGCCGAGCTATTCAATCTAAATGCTTTCTTTTTTTTGGAAAGTGAATTACAAAGTGATGGAGATCTGTTGTATTTTACAAACTTTGAAGTTTTTAGACATTTAGATTTAGAGACCATTGACGTATTGTGTTCCCTTCAATTTATTCTTTACTTCGTCTTGAAAAGTTTACCTTCATCAACCCTGAAAAAAACTTAGATTGGTCAGATTTGAGAACGTAAAGTTAGACTGGTTAACTGCTAGTTATAACATACTCACTGTTTGTTGTGTTTGTTTTAATACAGTAACTGATTGATTCAATGTATTAGATCGTTAAAATGACTACAAAATCAGGTTTTCGTCACCACCGTCAGATACATTTTTTGATAATATTTCATTGATGTTTTATATTTGTTGAGGAGTTGTTGGTCACATGTGAAAGTGTCTTCTGTCTGCTAACAAGTTAAAAACATCTAAATTGTTGTTAGAGATAAAGTTGAAATTAGATTACACAGTCCAAGGTAAAAAGCACATTTTGATAAAAAAAAAGAGTAAAGTTGGGAGGTTGCATTAAAGCATAGCTTAGTACACATGAGAAATGTCGTTTCATTTGTCTGAGCATCTCAAGAATCAGTGATTTATGATTGCTGAAAAAAACAAATTAAAATGAGAAATGCTGCCTTGATAAATAGCTGAAATAAAAAATATATACACTGCAAAAAAATATCCTCTTACTCAGTATTTCTGTCTTGTTTTCTAGTATAAATATATAAACATTCTTGAATCAAGATGAATTTATTGTACAAGTACAATTACTTTAAGATATTATGTCTTGTTTTCTGTAAAAAGTAAGTTTTAAAGTTTTTTTTAACTTACAAAATTTAGTTGTTGTTTTTTTTTACAGAAAACAAGACATAATATCTTAAATCATTATACTTGTACAGTAAATGCATCTTGATTCAATAATGTTTAGATATTTGTACTAGAAAACAAGACAGAAATACTGAGTAACAGAATCATTTTTTGCAGTGTAGATAATCTTTTTTTACTATATTTCAAGTAAGGAACATGTTTGTTTTTTATGGTTTCAGACTAGTTTTAGTTAACTATGATAACCCAGCTGCAAACTCTGGTCATCGGCTGAGGGTTCAAACTCTCTGAACACGGTGAACAATCACACACTTCGTCTCTACAGAGGGTGGAGCGTTGTGTTTGCGTCGCTCTGAGGTTAATGTCGTGTTGCTCCCGCGGCGTTAACGATGGGCGTCTTCCTCGCTCCATTAGAATGCAGACGGATGGGCTTTTTCCTCTTTTCCATTCCCAGCCCCTGTTATCCCGAGCTGTCAGGAATGCAGGAAATGGTGGCAGAGCACTTCCTGTCTGTGGCTGCATGTGTGAATGACCCAAACGCTCATTGAGCTTCACGTAAACCCGTACAAGTCTGCTTTTATTCTTTAGAACGTCTCTTTCGTTCACTTTTCTGTGTTTATCGCTGGTGTTCTTTGGCAGAGGTGTTGCAGGCTGTCAATCACTGCAGTGCTTCCCTCTGATTGGCTGAGAGCGTGTGGTGGGCGTGTTTTATAAGTTCATGTCTAACGGAACGCAGGAGCTCTGAGAGAGTTATTAAGGAGAACGTGCTTGAAGAAGCTGATGTTGACTGTGTGTTGGAGGAGGTGCTGGAGTGTGTTTGTCTCTCAGGTGAAGGCTGCTTTGACCCGTTCGCTCAGTAATGGGCTTCACAGCTCCGTTATCAGCGGCCTGCAGATCCATCTGGTTTCCGACATCATTTCCTTTTCCTCCTGCTGATCCCAGAGCTGTGCTGAGGAGCGGCCGCGTGCTTCTCTGTCCTCCGAGTCTCGTGATAGTCTCCCTGTTTCTGTGTTTGAATTCAGCTGAAGTGTTTAACCCTATAAAGCTACTGTATCATGAATTTCTAAGGTCTCTAAATGATCAACATGATCAATCTCCTCCATGCATTCTGTCGTCTGATTGAGAGTTTAGAGTGTTTTATCCAGTCGAAGCTCTTTTAGTGTAATTGTAGAAACGTCCAGCTTCAGCTGGAGCTTCTCGTGTCAAATCTTGACTGGTTTTGATCAAGTAAAGGTCAGAATAACTGCAGCAATATCTCCAGATGAACACTTACTGCACTGAAGCAGCTCAGCTTTACTTGATTCTCCATCAATCATGTTTTAGAGTCTCAAATCTGATCCTCAGGATCTTTTGAGGAGCGTTTGTTTCCAGAAGCTTTACTTTCACTGTTCCTCAGCGGAGGAATGATCTTCACAAGCCTCCAGAACATCTCACATCTTCTGAGGAGCCTTTATTTCTTCAGCTCTCAATCACTGCGTTATATGTTTGGAGCATTTCAATCTCATCTTACTGAGACAGATTACTGGAGATATAGAGCGACCGCTGATATTTAGATCAGTTTATGTCAGTATCTGCTCTACTGTTATAAACATCTCATTGATTTACATCGCAAGCAGCTTTCAGTAAAAGGTTCCATCTCAAAAAGACATTTCTGATGATTATTTCATGTCAGGCTTTACAGGGTTAATAATGTGGCAGATATGTCACATTTAAAGACACATACAGTTAGTTTAAAGTGTGTTTTTCTATCTTTGTGAGGGTCAGATGTTCAATGTGTTCACAAATATAGTGGAACGTCAAAAATTTGAGGAGCTGCTGAGTTGTCTCAGTGTCTCGTGATTGTTAGTTTGAGTTTAGTTTGGGTTAGTGATGGTTAGTTAGGTGCTGAGGGAGGACAGTAGGTATCAAACTTTAGAGAGCGTGATGGATTGTAGCGTGGTAGAAGACTAGTTAGGTACGCAGGAGCTAACCCATTAAGGGCCTTATAGGCAAGTAATAATATTTTGTAACTGATACGGAACTTAACAGGTAGCCAGTGCAGAGACTGTAAAATTGGGGTAATATGATCATATTTTCTTGACCTGGTAAGAAACCTAACACTGTAGAATCTACATTTGTTATTGTATTTCTGATGTTATCTATTTTATCAGTGAAGAAATTCATAAAGTCATTACTATTAAACTGTGCGGGAATATTTAGATCGGGTGGCGTCTGGTTATTTGTTAATCTAGCCACTGTGCTAAATAAAAACCTAGGATTGTTTTGGTTATTTTCTATGAGTTTGTGGATATGCTCGGCCCTGGCAGCTTTTAGAGCCTGTCTATAGCTGGACATACTGTTTTTCCACGCAATTCTAAAAACTTCCAAGTTAGTTTTTCTCCATTTGCGCTCAAGACTACGAGTTTTTACTAGTCACATGGAGCGCAGCGTCCTGGAGATGTTGTCCGACATGAGTTCTTGTCCAATCATTATAGTGGTGTGTGTAAACCCCGCCCCTTTCCTATAATCAGTGTTGGATGTAACTAGCTACTGTAATTTAATTATTTTTCCCTTGAAAAAGTAAAATAAGGGATTGCTCCTATTTGTTCTGTCATTTAATTACAGTTACTTCTTATGAAATTGAACTTAATGCTGTGTATAGACTGTAGAACATTTATGCACAATACAATAGTGGATGTAACATCAACATTTTAAAATGCATGCTTTTTATGTACCCTTCTCACTTTAAATACTTCGGTGAGTTAATGAGAATATTGGTAACACTTTAGTGTCCAGTTCTCACTATTAACGAGCTGGTTATTAGCATGAATATTACTGGGATATTGGCTGTTTATTATGACTTAAAAAGCACATATTAATGTCTTATTCTGCAAGACCTTATTCTAAATCCTTAATCCTACCCAATTCTTAAACTACTTTACTAAGCATTAATAATCAGTAAATTAGGAGTATTTTGAGGCAAAAGTCATAGTTAATTGGACCCTAATCTAAATTGTGACCAGAATAATTTATGTAGTTACTTGAAAGAATTAAAAGAACTGTTTTATGTCCATCCTTGTATCATTAACTTGATATAGGATTTAGAAAGTAATTAGTAATTAATTACTTTTTTTTTTTTTTAGAGTAATTTACCCAACACTGCTTGTAATCCACTACAAGCTCACAGTTAGACACGCCTCCATTTTTGACAGCCACGCCCACATCTCAACATCCAATCAACAACTGATGGATATAACCAAGCCCCGTCCTACATTTTTGTTTTTTTTTGACAGTAATTGTACGAACTCTCGGCTCAGAAACGCAAACTCTCTCTGTGTGTGTCCTGCAGGAGGCGCTGTTGGTGGTGAGTGAGGATCAGTCTTTATTCGAGTGTTCGTACGGAGCGCCTCATTCTAAGACGGACATGACGGCCTCCGCCGCCGGCGAATACGGCCCGAGCAAACTCAGTCCCAGAGTGCATCAGCAGGACTGGCTGGCTCCGCCCACCGGACGCGTCACCGTCAAGCTGGAGTGCGGCGCTGGAGCGCAGGTGAGCGGATCCAGGTGAGACGCACCTCCAGAGCAGGAGAGAGTTTAGACCAGGTGTCGGCAGCCTGCGGCACACAGAGGGATAATCAGAGATGGTCTTACTATTGGGACATGAGAGGGTCTGTATTACTTACTATTGGAGAAAGCGTAATGGCTAACTTGGATCACGTGTGCCTTAACCCTTTTCTTTTAAAGCGTTTTTGAAAAAAGTTGCCAGCCACCGCCAGCGTTTTTGCTGATGTTCACTAAAACTTCATCACGGCCTCCAGAATATTTTGTTGTATGAATATCTGAACATGCAATACATTAAAATAAAAGTCAGACCCTCTACTTTCAAACAATTTTATTATAGCTTCAAGCATTGTTTTCTTAATCAACACTTGAATGTAGGTAGGTTTCATAAAAAAGCAACATTTTGAGCAAAAAGCTGAGAAAATCGCATTATTATCAAACACTACGTCTGTATCATATTCAGTGATATTATCAAAGCAAAGCTGCAGTAGATGCTTCCATCAGCGCTCCCAAAGCTTCACAGGCCTTTAACACTTTCTGGATCCACATGTCACTCGCTAGCATTAGGCAGGTTTCATTTATACGCGGTTAGTGTTGATGATCGCATTGTTTTTCATATGCACATGCTTACATAAGAGAGCGCTGGTTTCTGCGTCTTCCTGGTCTGTGTTTTTGATCGAGTGATTCTAGACTCATTCAGGAGATGCGTAATAGCGCCCCCTAGCGTTTAACAGTGAAAACACGGAAAATTCTGTGTTTGGCAGGGAAAGAGTTAATTACCAATCAAATTACAGCCTTGACGTCATTGAATTTCAGTCAGAGTTGTGCGACACTCAGTCGCCGTTTACGGATCCCATAGGTTCAACCCAAAAGTATTGTTTAATGTAAAACATGTTGTAGATTAGCAGATAGGCTGTCGATTCATTAAATGACGAGCTGTTTCCTCTAAAAAGCTGTTTGTTCAGCGTAGTGAAGCCTCTCCTCCATTGACATCCATTCAATAAAAAGGTGCTTCAGAACAGTGCAGTTTAACAGCGCTCGTCAATGTCAAAATCACTGAGATGGCATACATACACACACACATACATACAAACATAATAAAGTAAAACTTATACTAGATATAAAAATTATTTAAGTAAGTATCTAAGTAAGACAATCATTTTTTGCAGTGTACCTATATCCAGTGATGCAAACTACTCAAGAGCGAGAGAGAGATAGAGAGAGAGAGAGATGGAGAGAGATGGAGAGAGATGGAGAGAAAGAGAGAGATGGAGAGAGAGAAACAAAGAGAGAGATGGAGAGAGAGAAAGAGAGAGATGGAGAGAGAGAGAGATGGAGAGAGAGAGAGAGAGAGAGAGAGAAAGAGAGAGATGGAGAGAGAGATGGAAGTTGCTTGTGTGTCTGGGTCTCTCTCCACAAACAATGAAGCTGAGTTAGTTATTTTTTTTAAATATGTAAATATGTACATATAATGTAGTGATTAAGTATTGATAAAGTCACGGGGCAGACCATTTTCTGAGAAGAAAGAGAGAGAAAGAGAGAGATGGAGAGAGAGATGGAGAGAGAGAGAAAGAGAGAGATGGAGAGAGAGATGGAAGTTGCATGTGTGTCTGGGTCTCTCTCCACAAACAATGAAGCTGAGTTAGTTATTTTTTTAAATATGTAAATATGTACATATAATGTAGTGATTAAGTATTGATAAAGTCACGGGGCAGACCATTTTCTGAGCTCCTGAATGTTTCTGTGTGTGCGCAGCACGATATCTCTGTCAATTTAGAAAAAAATGTCTCAGAAAATATTTGTATGATAATCAAATATAGATTTTCATCTGAACATTTAAAAATGCTTATGTACAGCATGCTTTGAAAAAAAGGGGGGGGGGGGGGACAGGCCAAGGG